TAACTTAAACGACTTAAAATGTGTCCTTGCTTTTTCTCTGGAGTGCCTCTTTCAAGTGCACGCCAGACAGGAAGGTAACAGATCCCAAAATGTTTAACTCCCCCCACCCCCACGTTTACGCGCCTATAAACGTAAATACAGGACGTGCCCCTGCGCGCAAAAATTACAATTGATGCCTGGATGCGAAGGGGGTTTAACACCGCGGATGTCAACTGGTTAAAATATGGTAGCATTCTTCAGAGATTCTTTAATTTCCTATTCAGAGCATTTAGAAAATCGGCCTAACAATCTTTAATAGTGTTTTAAGTTGAAGAAAAATGTTGCAGGAAAATATTTACAGAAAAGATATTAGAAAATAAACAGTAACAACAGTAAAATAAATGGGATTAAAAATGAAAGGGACAAATGTGCCTGGCCTTCCGAGTCACTGGCCTTTAGAAATGACTCTTTGCATTCTGGCATGGTCCTGGTGGAAAATGACAGCGCTAGCTGCCAATAACAGCAGAAGCTTTTGGTGGACCCTCTAGAGCCAACCACCACCCAATCAAGAGAGCTGAGGGGTGTGATTTAGGAGTTCCCTCAAGGCCATATTTTCTAAACACATTCATGTTCCCAGGTGAGCATGTTTTACGTCTGACAACCAACATATTATTGCACAGAATGAAATCACGGTTTCATAAAGACCCAAAACTATATAAACTGGAAGCATACATCACCTAGGAGATGTAATGTAATTCATCTTCCGGACATTAAAAATCACAGGCATGTGTGTGTATCATACGGATTATATTTTCTCATACATGGGTAGACACTTGTTCTGAAGATAGTGTTATCATATCAGGATTTATGCACTACAAATAGATTTTGGTTCTGGCAGTTAACAAAAAAATGCCAGAGCAGGATGAGTATTGCTTCAAACCATTCCTGGAATGTTTTAACAACTATTTACAACAGCCATTAGTATGTCCGGCTTAATCAAGGTTTATGGTGCCCAATTATGACCTGGATACCTTTGCAAAGTATTAGGAGCTAGAGGTTTTATGACATATCACGATGGAGCTTAATGAAAAGTTTTTTAAGCTTTTTTGAGCAGACCTTGCTAAGTACTGTTTATGCATTCCAACCAGATCTGTCTTCAGATGGGTTTTTTTTTGTAGAGGGTGATATGAGATGCGTCTCATGACTCTGCTTGTCACACACAAGATATCAATCTCATTGTTTGCCATGGAGTTGAGAATTGTGGAGAAATAAAGGTGGCACTGTGTTCAGCACCACTTCTACATTCTTCCCACTGTTTGAGTTGTCAGACCTTGTTATCCTAACAGAGGCTGCTTGGCAGCCAGCAGAGGGGGTAGATGAGTTAGGGAGGGACAGCATCTAGTACAAAAAGAAGAAAATCAAATGATGATATCATTACAACATCTTACGACTCTCCAGGATGAAAAGAATATCCTGTTTTGTCCAGTATTAGAAAAACTGATTAGTTTATCATTTAAACATCCTCAAATTTCTGGCAAAAAAGTGACATTTAGAAGCAGAATGGCCTGGTAAAGGCTGCATGCAGCCATTTGACATTTGTTGTGTGGTCCTTGGGTTATAGCAGTCAGTAGTCCATGTTATTTTCTGCCTACCGTAGATGATTACTCAGGGCCAGTAAATTAAAATTACGGATTACATTAGTTCCTGCTAGTTACATGGTTTGGTTGCTTTGGGTTATTACTTTAACTTTTTTCTCATTTGTGGTGCCTTCTATTCCCTTTTCTCCTTTTTAAGTATATGAAATATCAAAGGTGGCATCATAACTATAAATGTTGGAGCAGAGATATGTAAAGGGGCTGTATTGGCTGTGATCTTTAGCAGTCCTATGTAACATCTCCCCAGTCTCTGACTGTCTCCTGTAACATGTTTGCAATCTCCAACTACATCTGCAGCATGTTCCACTCCTAACCACAACTGCAGCATGTCCCCAGACTCCAACCACATTTGTAGCATGTCCCCAGGCTCCAACCACATTTGTAGCATGTCTGTAGTCACTGACTATCTCGTGTAACATGTCCTTAGTCTCTGACCATCAATTATTACATTTCTGCTGCCTCTATCTCCTACAGCATTACCCCAGTTCCTTACCTCACCTATATCATAGTTTCCGACCATCTCCTGTAGCATAACTGCAGTTTCTCACCACCTTCTGTAACATGTATGCAGTCTCTGGCCATCTACTGCTACACATCCAACCACTCCTGTGGTATGTCTGCAGTCTCCAACCACTCCTGTAGTATGTCTGCAGTCTCTAACCACCACTCCTGTAGTATGTCTGCAGTCTCTAACCACCACTCCTGTAGTATGTCTGCAGTCTCTAACCACCACTCCTGTAGTATGTCTGCAGTCTCTAACCACTACTGTATGAGTACGGTCTCTAATTCTCACTACT